GTGGGTAGGACAGAGTCACTGTGTGGACCAGGCCCACAGAACCCACAGAAATCTGCCTGCCTCTCTCTCCTGGGTCCTGAAATTAAATGCTTGTACCACCACAACCATCAATAAATGCAATCTTTAAAAGACAAAATAAAATAAGGAAGACTTGTGGAAATATTAGCAAACACTGTTTAGGACCCTAGGGAAAGGCTATGAAAGAAAGTAGCTCAAAGTGTTGTTGGTGCACATGTGCAATTATCGGTTCTTGCTGATATTACTGTTGACTGTAACTGGTGTTATTTGTTAGGGTGCCAGGCCAGTGCCTCCTGGGTGCAGGCCTTGGCTGGACAGCCTCAGGTGCACACAGTGCCTGCCTGGTGCAGAGTGCCCACAGAAGTAGCTCTGGTGATAACAGGTGAAACAGGAGCCCGAGGCTGAGAAGAGCTTGGGGTGTGAGCTAAGGATTCAGGAAAGAATCTGTGGAGGCCTCAAACTTTTAAGGAGGTAGTTAGAGAAGGGCCAAAAGCTTTGTACTTTTCCCCCTTCAAATGCATCCTCTCCCGATGTCTGTGCTTGAAGGTGGGATGCACACAAGGTTAGAGAGAACCCTCAAACTCCTGCCACGCATCCTCTTCACCATTCCCAAGTCCCTTGCAAAGGATTCTCCAAATTGCAAGTGCCCACTCTTCCTCCTGTTTCCAGAGGACCTTTAATCTGGCCTTTTGTCTCTCCCATGCAGTTGATAAACTGGCCCCACATCCTGCTGCCTTTATCTGCCTCTCCATAGAAGTCTGTGGCAGCGAGGCCAACCACTTCACAAGCGCCTTTGTGTTAGTCCTCAAAAGAAAGGCTTTAAAACCTGTGACCGTGAAGCTCAGGGACAGCTCCTCTTCCACCAGATTCCACAGTTGTCCAAACCTAAAAGAACCAGTATGACCAGCCAAGCCACAGATGGGCTTCAGGGACCACATTCAGAGAGGAGCCTGTAGGACCACACCCAACCTTTCCCGAGGCCATATGTGGATGGTGGGTGCCAGTGAATGGGCTTCAGTAAGGACAGTAGGTACCCACCAGGCATCCCCAGAAGAAATCATCCTTGGAAGAGTTACATCTGAGCACCTAAATTGATGAGCTTCTTTTGTCAACAGTGATTGATAGAAGCACATTATTTCTTGTAGAAATAATAGCTAGGAGTTTTGAAGAGAGCTGAAAAATCTCCCCAAGTGTTACTGGAGAGCCATTGATGAGAGAGAATGGGACTCTGGCTGGGTCAGCGTTCTGTCCTGCTATCCACACTGCACTGTTGATGCTCTCTTCTGCCTTCCACATGAGCAGGGGGTTAGTAAGGTGCTGATGAACGCCGCCTGGATATTCTCTGGTGTTGCCAGCCCTGAGCATCACAGTCTCAGGAGGTCCTAGAGGACCACACCCACAAATGCACAGCTGTTCCATAGATCTCTTCTGTGATTAAAGGGAAGAGAGTGGGTGTTTCTCCCAGGTAGGTCTAAGAAAATGAAAGTGCACTTAAAAAGAAGCAGAAGCCAGGTGTAGTGGCATGTGCTTGTAATCCTGGCACTTGGGAGGCTAAAGCAGGAGGATTGCTCTGAGTTTGAGGCCATCCTGGGCTACATAGAGCACTCCAGGGTAGTCTGGGCTAAGAATGGGATGCTGTCTCCCAGAAACAGAGAGTGAAAAGGAAAGAAAGGAAGAGAAGCAGAGACTGTGAGTTCCCACCCTCTCTGTGAAGTGCTTCTTCAGGGGCCATCCCTTGCTCCCCAGCCTAGTCTTCCGTGTATGGCTGCATCCCTGTCTGTCACTAGGCCTTACTTTCCACACACTGCAACTCTGTTTGTGTTGTCTCCTTCCCTGGCCAGAGCCCAGCAGAGGAACATCCCCCCCCCTTCTTCTCCCCCTCCCCCAAGAGTAGACAGTCTCCAGCAGGCAGTTGGTATCTGCTGCTGTCAGCCCAATAAAAACGGGCTTCTCTGGGGGAGTAAGGCTGAGGGGGTGTGTAGAGCACTTTGAATTCTCCAGCCTGGTTCTTTGTTCATCCCCTCCAGGAAGGTGGGCCCCACACAGCCCTGAGCTGACTCAGGCCTTCCTGCCCCAACTCACCTTATCTTGATGAAGAAAGCGATTTGTTTCCCTTCTCTTCTGTGAGCAGAAGCGGTTGAAGCACATGAAGCAGAGCTGTGGGTGGTTTTCTGACTGTAGTCCATTAAGCTGTGGATCCTAAAGTGATTTCATTTGTGACATGAGCCGTAAACCCATACCAGTTTCCTCTTGAAAACAACAGCTTGCTGCTCTTCAAGAACTGAGGTTCTGCCTGAGCTCTCTTGTTCTAAGTAGAAGCGCAGCCAAAAATTTCTGTTGCCCAACACAGACTACTGCAGTTGGCACACCGAAGGTGGGGGGGGGGGGGGGCTTGAAGAAAGAGTTCCCATTGCAGCTGCTGTTCTAACCATGTCAAGGTGGTTCTTTTTCAGTCGCCTCTAGAATAAAACCCACCTGGAGCTCTGAGCCTTCCCATCCTTCCCCGGAGCCCTCCTGTATCTCCTTGCCTGTGCCCTGTTGCCACAATGGGTTTTTCTTGACAAGACAGACACTTCTCTCCCTTGTGATACCCACACCCCATGCTGTGGCTGTCATTAATGCATACCATACTCAGCTCAAGGCCTGTGGGTCCAAGGCAGCTCATGAGCTCTTCTGGGGCTTTCCCACATGTGATGCTCAGGAGCCTTAAAGTCACTTAAAGTGCCCTGAGAGACTGCCATCTAACAGTCACAGAGTTAGCTGTGTTTTCCATCCAAACACAAAGGAGTCTGGGTCCATCACCATTTGTTCCTTCAGCTGCAGGTGGGTGGCCCAGCCTTGCCTCCCTGCCTTCTAATTCCTCAAGAGGATTTCCTACTAAGTGTCCATGTTTGTCACTGAAAAGGGTACCAAGACTCTTATCTCAATGAATTAGAAAATGCCTCTGTTGTTATTTCCAACAACCCTAACCCTTGGGTGTCTCTGATGTGGGAAGGGGACTACTGGGCATCCTGCATAGCAGCAATTTCCTAAAGCATGTATCTGACTGTGTGCAGTAATGCCAGGTATCACCAGGCCATACTGATCCTAGCTGACACCCACTCCTGCCCCAATCTGGTTGCAAATGCAATACTGTTGAGTATCACTGAGCCATACTGATTCCAGTGGTCCCCGCCCCTCCTTGAAATGCTTCTAAGAACCCCCAGTGGCTCAGGTTGATATCTGAAGCCTGGGATAATGCCATGCCCTACCATACCCTTGTCAGAAAACCTGCTGAGATTAATTGCTAAGTGCTTAATAGGAAGGTGGCATAAACATTGCAGACACAGTGGACAAAGTGATGGTTCACACCCTCGCTGAGTTAGAATGGACTGTGTGAGGCTTCATTCACTACTCAGAAATACAACTTAAAACTTTGTGATTATTGGGCTGAAGACATGGTTCAACAGTTAAGAGCACTGGCTGCTTTTCCAAAAGACCTGAATTTGACGCCCAGTACCCAAATAACAACTCATAACCATCTGTAACTTCTTACAACCAACTGTAACTCCAGCCCCAGGACCTCTGATGTCTTCTTCTGGCCTCCATGGGCACCAGGCATGCAAGTGGCATAAAAGCATACATCCAAACAGACAAACTATACACATAAAATAAAATAATAAAAAGCCTATAGGTCAGTTACTTCTCTGGTTTTCCATTTAATATTTCCAGATTGCAGAGGAGGCCTTGGATAAAGGGAGCTGTTATAAACTTCTCCTTTTGTAAGGTGTAGTGATATAATGATGTGTAGGTTGGTTTAGCATGTGTAGTTCATCTCCATGGTACGTGGGTCTGATAACCACAGTGCATTCTGGCTAGGGTGTCAGATTAGCGTGGACAATCTAAAAATGCCCAAGAATAAGAAAGTAGCATTTCTCTGCCATGAATGCAGTCATGGGTGTCCAGCACCCTGCTCTCTTCCTAACCCTCTGCTTCCTTACATTCTGATTCCATTCTCCTCACTGTGCTGTGGGGAGACACCACTCCTTATCCAAGTTTCCAGATGCCTCTCCAGCCCGCTCTTGCAACTTTGCTTTCCCTACTCCCCACTCTAGCCTCTCCACTGTTCCACATAACTGGGACTACTCCCAGAATCCAAGGATGCATGCCATCCAGCTACCTAGGTCATGGCCAAAATCTTCTCAGAGGAAGGCTTTCTCTAAGGAGTTCCGTCACCTGTCCTATTTTGAGCCCTGTCAACACTCTCTATGTTGGTGTCCCTGAAGCCCGGGTTGTCCACTGGTGGAGGAAGTATACAGATAGAAACCAGAATCTCAGCAGTGGCCCCAAGGCATGCTCAATTCTGCATTAGTGTGAACAGGGCATTCTAGTTGTCCCACAGGGAAGTGAAACTTACCCAGGAGGGGAGGCCAATGGGCCTAACTGGCCTCCAAGTCATGGTGCTGCTCCCAGGCCTGTGTCCTGGCTGTAGGTTCCAATCTAGAGTCAGAACTGGACCCAGTACTAACTTCCCTAATATCACAGTGTTGGGAAGCATGAGGGGCAGCAGGGGACAGGAGCCACCAGCACTACTAGTCCACTAAGTGCCCTGCAGCAGCACAGCCCTCCCTTCCCATCCCACCTAAGGCAGAGGAACATCTTAGAGGGCACCCACCCCCGACTTGCCTATCAGGCTGAGTGAGACAGAGGAGAGCGAAGGTGTCCCGGGTAGTTTCACGTCAACACTAAGCTCCATTACTCCCTGGTTTTTGCTTCATTCAGTTCCTGCCTCCTGGTTCCTCCTTGTGGTCCTATCCCAACTTCCCTCAGTGACTTGTGAGCAGAGATAACCTGTTTCTCCCTAATGTCTTTGGTCGTGGTGTTTTATCACAGCAATAGAAAGCACACTGGGATAGAAGGGCTGAGATATGAGATAAGAGAAACTTGCCATAAAAATCTCTGCTGGCTCCTGACTGCTCCCTTCTCCCCACCCCGCTACACAGGAGCGCTTCTTCTGGGAGGGATCCTGTACTCCTGGCAGTTCCCCCACTTCAACGCCCTGAGCTGGGGCCTCCGTGAAGACTACTCCCGAGGAGGCTACTGCATGATGTCGGTCACCCACCCAGCCCTCTGCCGGCGTGTGGCACTGCGTCATTGCCTGGCCCTGATTGCACTGTCGACTGCTGCCCCTGTCCTGGACATCACCACATGGGCCTTCCCCATCATCTCCCTCCCCATCAACCTGTACATTTCCTACCTCGGCTTCCGCTTCTATGTGGATGCAGACCGTCGGAGCTCTAGGAAACTGTTCTTCTGCAGCCTGTGGCACCTGCCACTGCTCCTGTTGCTAATGCTCACCTGTAAGCAGCGGCCAGGTCAGGAGGGGGACAAGGGAGAGGCTCCAAGCTGAAAGCTAGCCGACATGTGGGGGACTTGAGAGCAGACACGTGCAGACGAATGTATAGCACAGCCCTGTGCCAGTGGGAAGCGTATTTTGGTGTTTCTGGCATGCAAAAGGAGAAATGGATGGTGTCAGCTGGTGGCAGATCATCTGGTGCTGTGTCATCACTTATCAGTCCTTTTTATATTAATATCCAAACTGCCTCCCAAGTAAGAAAGGGACTGGCATAGTGAATTGATACAAAAAAGAATATGTTTCTTCTTGAAGGTCTTTATGCATCTTTCCCTCCAGCCCCTCGCACCCACATGATGCATATGCTCATCTCCCTTCTCCCAACACACACATACACACATACTCACCACCTGAAGGCCACAGTTGTCACTGGTCAAACAGGCGGGTGCTTGTAACCCAGCCTGTGTAGTTCCATATCCCGAGGCTCCCACAAGCTGCCGCAGAAGAACACAGACTGTGGCCCTGTGGCCGCGGCACACTTCTCTGCCATGGAGCTTTCTCCTCCAGCGTTCTCAACCACCTATTCCCTGAAGTAACAGAACACCCAGCACAGCCTGCGCATCGGGAGTGAGGATTCCAAACGGTTGCCTGCAGCACAGCCAGCACCTACCATCACCCCCAGCCCCACCCCACAGCCCCACAAATACAAGGTGTCTTCTTCCTCACTTTGAAGAACAGGCCCGGTCTGAGCATTTCCTTCGGGAAGGGTGGCACTTGGCATCCCAGAACCCCCTCAGGCACTGAGCCCGTCACAGTACCACTGTAGTTGTGCTGTGGCTGTCAGGGTTTCACTGGTGACCTTCTTGGGGCTGAATGGGCGAGAGAGCATGAGCGGAGTCAACAGCCTTTCTGTACCCACTCTTACCTCTTTTGTGTAATCAGTATTTCCACTCTGGTGCCTCCTGAGTCCAGAAGTTCACCTCTATGTGTCCAGTGGTATTCAGAGAGAGCCAGCTGGGTTCCTAGTGGTCATGGGTCCAGTTCTGGGAATTCATGGCCTCTGATAGAATATGTAGTCTTGTATGTACTTTTCAAGGTCCACAGAGAGGCCTGTTGCCTTAAAGTTGTGGAGCTTGGCAGGGCATTTGAGTTCCTTGGTCTCCCAGGGTGCTGTGGCCTGTCGGGATTCCCTCTAGGAGTTTAAGCCACCTGAAAACAGTTCTTGAATTTGGGCAATTCTCCCCAAAATGTGTAAAGCTTAAGCTGTGGCCCAAAGACATCACTTGCTTAGCCATGCTCTAGGGGGTTGATCTCAAGTGGGGTGTCATCAAGAGTGACTCAGATAGTGTGCCTGGTACCTCTTTCTACCTATTGTAACATTACCTCCTGGCTGTTTACTGTGGGGCAGGAAATGGGGATGTCTGCAGAGCGCATCTGTGATTTGTCGCAGCCTTTCAGTCTGTAAAGTGTGTTGATTCTCCTCCTCCCGCAATAAAACAGTTACAAGAACAGGAGTGTGTGTTCTGTTGTTACTCATCATCCCAAGCCCCGCAGTTGAGCACCGACTTCCTTCCTCCAGCAGCTAGCAGACCACTACAGCAGGTGGGTTATTTCCTTCTTTCATTTTTTTTTTCCTAACTGTAAATTGACAAATTATTCTTGTATCTACTTAAGCACAGAGCAATGTGATTTATGAATCCAAGTTGGAACCAGTGGGCATAACCATTGCCTCAAATGGTCTTCACTGTATAATGCCACTTCTTTTCCTGGGTCTGGGTCAGTTTTTCTTTTCAAACATAGAAATGGTATCTAACACCCAATAGAAATGCCTTTTATTAAAGATTTACTTTAATTATCATGTTTGTGTTTTTCTGTATGTGAACATGTGCACATAAGAGAACAGTTTCTTACAGAGGAATCAGATCCCCCGGAGTGGTGTTAAAGGTGGTAGTGAGCTGCCCATTATGGGTGCAGGGGTTGAAGTTGGTCCTCTTCAGAGCAGTGCATGTTCTTAACTGCTGAGCCATCTCCCCAGCCCCAGAAATACCGTCCTTGCAGCACTTTAAATATGTACTAGGGATCCCGGACACTGATGCTGGCAGCCAGAAGCAAGGTGTGGAGCTCTGCTGTGCTATGCTGGTTTTTCCTATGAGCCTGTCCAAGGCTGTGCCTCTGCTCATGACTTCACCCTTCTGTTTTCTACCTTTCATCAGTTTGGACCTCTTGTTGGCTTTGCTAAGAGACAGCTGTGCCTCTGTACTTCTTTGTCCAATGGAATGCTGGGAACGGAGCGGAGCTTTTCTGCTTGCTGGCCCTCATGTCATGAACACTTACTCCTCTTTTGCTAGAACCAGGTCTTAGTCCTTGGACACCCTCCCTTCTGCTTCCCAACACACCTCAAGTGACAAGGCAGTCAAGAGGATGAGGCCTCTGTGCAGTGCCAGCTGCAGAACCCCATAGGAAACATGTTTGAGGGGCTTCCGGGGGCACCGAAAACAGTCACCTCCCTTGAGTTGGGTAGAGAGCAGCTTGGAGCACTGGCTCTTTTTCTGGAGTTGAAGTAGCTAGTGATTACCCAGGAAGGTCCCCTATCCCTCAATTAGTGACACGCCTCATCCATCTATCAGCTATAGTTACTGGTGTCTGCCAACCAGGCAACTAAACACAATTCAAGGAGGGAATAAACAGGGTCCAGAAAACCACTTGGGCATCTGACACACTATGTTGGCCTTTCCCAAGCAGCCATTAGACCATTAAATGCAATTATATTTATCTACTAAACTTTCCTACGGGGCACTGAAGATCACCATCTAGTAAACCCACATAAAAATAGCCTCATGACAGGTGATTGATTACACACCCAGTATCTTTTAACCGCAGGTTCCCAATCAACTGTAAGAAGTGAGATTCATTCTGGATCAAAGAGCCTATAACACTCTCCTCTGTCATCAGGTTCAGGATGGACCCATCCTGTACATCACAGAACACATGAGAGGCAAGGCATCATCTGATGACTGAACTTAAAACCTGATTGGCTGGCCTGGTCATATACATCAGTGTGGTAGCCATCACCCTCCACCAACTTGTAACCACTTTTTAAGCTGCCTAATACATCTTCCTTTGTATTCTCACCCCTGCCTAAGCTTTTTCACGTGGCAACTAGAATAACCCTGATACCCGGATCACCATGTATTGGGGGAAGGGTGGGTGATCTGACCCTGCTGACCTCAGTCCCAAAACTACCCCTCTCCCATGCCTTCCAGCCTCCTATTTCTTCTGGGATTTCCCACTTCCTCTTCATCCAGCTCATGGGTCCCCTCATTCAATAAAATGACACCCTATATAGGAATTCCTTGTGCCTTTTATCAAACAGCACCCAGTCCCAGCTCAGCTCCAGTTGCTTCTCACAGTACCCAGCTTCCTAACATTTATCACTAGTAGACGTGGTTGGTATATCTCAGGATCTCTTGTCTTCTTATATCAGTGGTTCTCAACCTATGAGTCACCATCCCTCTGGGGGTTGAACAGCCTTTCCGCAGGGGTCATCTAAAACCATTCAGCATATCAGATATTTACACTAGGACTCATAACAGTAGCAAAATAACAGTTATGAAGTAGCAACGAGAATAATTTTATGGTTGGAATCGCCACAGCATGAGGAACTGTATCAAAGGAATGCAGTGTCAGGAAGGTTGAGAACTACCATCTTAGAGTATAAACAAACTCCCCACAGGTTTTTATCACCCCCACCTCTAGTACATAAAACAGCACACAAAAGACCAATAACCTCCCCATCTGATTGACTCTACCACTGGACTGTATCAACTTTGTTCTTTGAGACAGTATCTCATTAAGTTGCCTAAGTTGGCCCTTGAACTCACTCCAGACCCCACTACTGCCCTGTACTGTGATCTTGTCCTTGCCCCCCCCCCCAAGTGCTGGGATCACAGGCCTGCTGCACCAGGCCTGACCACCAGATTTGAGCTCCCTCCTCTCCAGAGTGCATCAGGCATCTGCCAGCTGAAATGGAGCCCTTCCAGAAGTTCACCAAGTGAGGAGCAGCTGCCAAAGTAAAAGCCAAGGGCCTGAAAACCCCAGGTACAGTAGAAGCCATGAAGTTCCAGGGTCTTCCAGAAAAGCTGGTACCTTGTTCAGGTAGCACCAGGGGGCGCTGCAGGAGGACCTGGGAGTTGAGAGTGTAAAGTGTGTGGTTGAGTAACCCCTCCCCACCCTATCTACCCAGAGGGAGGCAAGGTGCCTAAAACAAACAAGTCAGAGAAGAGTATCCAGGCAAACACAAACAATGCCCTCACCCTTCCCAGCTCCAACAAACACAAACACAAATACAAAGAGAAGAGCCCAGAACAAACAAAGCCAGCATCCAGAGAGGGTGGGGCGAGTTAAGCACCATCCATTCATTCTTATCCTGAGCCACCAATTATCCAGGTGCCCTGCAGTGGCAGCTGGATCCCAGAGTTTGCTCTCAGGGATGACAAAGCCTTGTGGGGACAGAAAGTAGAAGGGTTCTTTTCCCCCTAGGTCTTTGGCCTCCCTGCTCAGCCTTGCCATGATCCTGAGTCTGTCTCCTGACCTTTTTGTCCTTCCTTGCCTTTGGGTTCATGCCTGTCATCTGGGGGGGGGGGGGGAGGCGGGGGTCTGGCTACAAGCCCCAGCTCTAAGGCAATGTAAGCCAAACTCAGAAATGAAGTCAGCTACAACTCTTTTCTTGGTGGCTTGGTCCAGTTTTGTATCAATTCCATTGCTTTCTGTTAACACAAGAGAACTGGGCATAGAACTCAGCATAGGCAACAGGTCATTGTGCAGAATGCTGAGGGTTAGGTGTGGCTGAGAGTGGTAAACAAAGATGGATTAGGAAGGTCAGGTTCCTGGAAGACTGAGCATGGCTGGAGATTGAAAACGAGGCCAGGGTAGGGAAGGAGATTCAGCAGAGAAGCAGAGAGACCCCATCTGACAGGTGTTTTAACAGCCATAGACTACCCAATGGTAATAGGGAGCCATGGAAGAGATGAACAGGAAGAGATGATCGAGTTTGTGCTGTAGGAAGAAAACAGCCCACACAATGTAAAAGGTGAACTTGAAGATTTGGAGAAAGCAAGTGAGAAATATCAGGCCTGAATCTGGGCAGACAAGGGAGAGATAGGAAACCTGTGGTGAAATATAGGCCTCTGCAGTTGGTTTAATAAACAAGTTGGCTAGCCAATAGCTGAACAAGATACAGTTAGGCAGGAAAGCCAGACTGAGAAGGATGGGATGAGGAAGGACAGAGTTAGAGGAGACACCAGCCAGATGCAGAGGGAACAGGAGATAAACATGCCATGTGTAAATAAAGAATATGGATTAA